CAATCCAGTAAAAGGTTTATTACCATGCCAACTGATTAAATTGTTCAACGAGGTAATCGGAGTTAACATGACTAAGTCACCCAGTGATAGCCCGTTGCAAACGTACATGCTGTCAAGGAGTGGACTAAGACATATAAGCAGTCAGGCTGCACTTGCCGTTGATGCCCCGGTACAAGTGTGAACAGTATTGGAGCTGGACCAAAATAATAACTTCTAACAAAACAAGACCCACATAAGAGAACCATCTGCAGTGATGATGAGTATGCTTCTAGTGGCATTGGTTTGCTTACCAAAGGGGGCAAGATGGGAGGTTTTGAGGAGGCTTTTCATGGAGATGGGTGCATGTTCATTGATGGACCTGTAAGCCAGCACCAATGCCTTGAATTTGATGCTAGCATCCCTATGAAACCAGTAAAGGGAGATGAGGAGAAGTGTGACATGGGAATATTTAGACTGAATGAATATCAAACATACTGCCATGTTTTGAATCATCTGCAGTGGTCTGATAGCACAAGCTGGTAGACCTTCTAATAGAGAGTTTTAATACTGTACCCATGAGGTAACAAGTGCCTGGACTAGATTCACTAGGAGCTGGGCTGCATACTGAGAAAGAAAAGGCTTGATCTTCCATATGTTATGCAGGATAAACCTGTAAAATCAGGAGAGCACTGTTTTGAGTCAGCAAAGGACAACTGATCGTCTGTTGTTACCCCTAAGTTCCTGGCAGACCTTGCTGTTCAAACTTGGAAAGATTAAGCTGGATGTAATGGTCCCTCATCCATTGTGCAATGTCAGTCAGGCATGCAAAGATCTGAGCAGAGACTGTGGTGTCATCAGAGGAGAAGGTCAAGTAAATCTGGATGTCATCAGCCTAGTAGTGGTTAGGGCCGCACAATATCACACTGCAGGATCACATTGTGGTATGTGAAATGTCTGCAAATAACATTGCAATATTTATAAAACAACAAAGAAGATTAAATTAACCCAAAATAAACTATAGCCTATAAACTCTTGTCTACCAACAGACTGTGTCAAATAAGTTGGTGATGTTGCCTGGAGTTCTGTTAACAGACACAAAGCAATGCTGACAAATGTGGTGTGATTATTGTGCATGCATACAATATATCTTGCGGCCCTGAAATAATATATAGTGTAGTGGTAGGAGAAGCCATGCCACTGGATGACTGAGAGGTAATGTAAAGAGAGAAGAGAAAGGGACTGAGGATAGAGCCTTAGGGAACACCGGTTGTTACCTGAATGTGGTGTAGATTTGGAATGGTCTGCCTGATAGGTATGAGTGAAACCAGCACAGAGCAGTCCCCGAGATACCAAGGTGAGAAAAGGAGGCCTAGAGGATTTGGTTATTGCTTTTAATGTCACAGAGAGGTCTACTATTAACTTACTAGCATTTAGTTGTGTCAGGGTGATGGAAGCTGCTTTGCCTGCTTCATGATGTCATTAACCCATTAATATGTCATAGAAATTTGAATGCATCATATCCTGTCTGACTTTGGCACTGGTGTGTTTACACAATTATACGTTATGATATGATATACGATTATGCAATTATATGTCAGCTAACTACAGAGAAACTTCATTTCTATAATTCATATCAGTGGATGACTGGAAAACATCAGATCATGAACCTTTGCAGAGTTGCCTTCAGAAAACTGAGTTCATCTCCTACCCTCACCCAATGCATCTGATGCTGCATGACTGATTTAGGAAAGAAGGGCCATGGGTTGAGACCTAGCATATGCAGCAAATTAGCTGTGGGGGTGCAAGGGCGGAGGGACCCAGCAGGTTCCTTTTTTAAGGTACTTATCTTGCTCTGCTACATTGTTGCATCTAGTGTGGGTTTGACATGGTATGATGGGAGAACCAGTCCTAATATGTCCTGACATGGGAAGCAGACTCACTGTGGGAGATCCACACATGGCCAGAAGTAAAACAGTGACATATAATCAGAATATATCTGAATAAGTGTTCTATTTATTAATTTGTACCCTTAAAATGAGGAGTAAATTTCTGATGCAATTGTATGTTCCCTACTAATACATTAAAAGAACAAAAAAATCTGAACACACTACAGTGATTAATACGTATTAACTTGTTTCTGTTTTTTTTTTTTTTTTTGGCCCACTGTAGCCAAATTCTACTGGGAAGAGAGAGAGGATGGTTTAAAATCTTGAATTAAATTGCAAATTAATGTTTAAATGTTTTAAACCGATTTTCTTCTTATTTTCCTTTTCCCTTCTTTTGCCAATCTGTTCTTAGCCTCATTTGCTCTAATCCTGCTGGCACAGTTGACAGGCCACAGTGCGCACAGGTTGTGATATTGGGTGTGGAATGGCCTTGCAGTTATGGCTGATGAACTGATACAATAACATTTGTGAATTGTAATTTATAGTCTCTATGTTGTGACTATTGTGAGGCTTTGTGCTGTACGTGAAACATGATGATGATGATGCCGCGCATTGTTTCAGGGATCTCCAGGGGTGAGGGAACTTTGCTTAATGGCCTCCGATGCTCCACCTTCACAATTAGGTCTCTGGTTCTGAGACTATGCAGGTCTACGTTTAGCCTTTGAATGTCAGCATGGGATATCTGTTATGAAGATATTGCGGAAGGATCCAGCTCACTACTGACCATTTAGGCCCCTTGATCATACCGAGAAGTCGGGTCTGAATCCTCAGTGACTCTTAGCTTAACATTTAATCTTGACACCCACCACACTCATCTATCCCATTCAGATACTTTAGTGACTAAATATTAAGAACAACAGACACAGACACACCCCTGCCCTGGGATGAAAATAGAAATGCAGATCAATGACATCAAGTTTTCAGTGTGGTTCTCAGTCATCCTGAATGTTATTTTCTTAGACTGAGTTTAACATTTCAATTATTATTATTATTATTATTATTATTATTACTATTATTATTAATAATAATATTAAAATTCACAGATTGATGACTTTCATAGACCCATTAAAGCATCCCGTTTGTTCTACTCTCTATGTTGTATGTCTACTGACGTCTGCAATATTTTGTGCACTAAACAAATTAAAGGACATTGTTTTATTATGGGGCAGTGAGTGGCTCCTCAAGCTAATCCTCCATGTCTGTGACTGAAAGGTCACTGGTTTGAGCCCGGCCTTGGAAGAATAGTCACATGTCTGTGGGCCCTTGAGCAAGGCCCTTAACCCCCAGCTTCATGGGTGCCACTGCAGGTGGTTGCCCTTCACTGCCAAGCTCACTCTCACCTACATATGCATCAGTGTGTCATGGAGAGAAAGATGAGGTAGTCAAGAGAATTTCCTCATGCAGGATCAGTAAAGTATCATTGTTATTATATCAGTCCCAGAAAAGTTTTTCAAATATTGCAATCATTTAAATCAGTTAAAATTTTGTATTTTTAGAGGAAATAAACGGTGTATAAAAGCAAAGATCCCATATAAACTGTGTTTCACTGCACAAAAGCTCGCCTCATATAATGATCCCCCTGAATACAGCACTGATACTCGTCCTCTGCAAACATCATGATGGCTGAGAACTTGACTGGCCAATGTTGTGCTGCTTCTGCCACAAGGTGGGTTCCTTAATGAGTCTCTCCATAATTGATTTGATGATCTCTTTGTAATTAGCACTGTTTGGGCATAGATCTCCTTGTAACAAACTAAGTCTTTTGGACAGGCATTTGGTGGGAAGGAGAACTGCAGCATTGCAGAGATAATTAAAGCAGACATCGTTCTGTCGGTTGAGGGGGGGCTGCTGGCAGCAGGATGTAGTGTCTTAAGAATGGTCTGTTCCTGCCTTTTGGGGCATCCCACTAAACTCCCCATACGGTGCACAGCAGCCGTCTTGAGGCCTCAGTGAGCCGACTGAGGCTACATGCAACAGTTGGGTCCTGAGGAGTGATGGGGCAGGTCTTGTACTTCCAGGACATCCAGAGCGCAAGGTTGAGGGTAAAGCGCTGAGATAGTGACGAAGCCCCAAGGGAGCTACAGCTAGATGTAGTCAGGCTACATCTCCACATTTCTCCACATCATCCCTCTGGTGGACTTTTTGATGAACTTGTTTTTTAAGCATGGTATCATTTTATATGACTGATATACTCCAGGTCAAACATTACTTTTAGATTACAACTGAGAAGAAAAAAAGGTTTAACTGGAAGCAGTGAATGATGCCCTCCTTGAAACAATCTTTGAATAAACAAATATTTTTTTCTTAGTCTCCAGTCCGTAATGTCTATATACAATCTCCACTGTATGATTTTCAGATCCTGAAGCTTAAATTGTTATAAATTAAACATTTGACTTTGAAATTTGGGTACATGCCATCTGTGTTCATTTCTGTTCCCAAGAGTGGAAAATTGGCTAACAAAGCCACAGTGACTGGAAATGGGTCATGCAAACAGGGCTGCTTGTTTGTTGTCTTTTCTCAAAAACTGTCCCATCTAATTTAGATAATTCAGACAGATATCTTACTGTATTTATACCTCTGTTTTGCATCCATCTTATAATCTTAAAAAATAGATTAGAATCCAAGAGTTGATCCCCTTTTGAAACTCCTTTGACTTCAGGATGTCATCAGTGGAGCTGCTGTCTAATTTACAGCTTTTAATCCCAGTGTGAGACTTGTTTGCATGTTGTTTTCAGTGACACACCAACATTTAAGCTCAGAACTGATTACCAGTTAAGTCCAGTTAAGTCACTTTACATAGACGACAATACTGTGTAGCTTATGTCCATAAAAATGTGGCTGGTGTGCTGGAGTAAAAAATGGTTAAACAACGAATAAAGATCCTGAATTATGTGATCAATCCACAAATGGTCATCTTAAAATTTAGAGCCTGTAAGCATAAGGATGGAGAAAAGCCGCTGAATAATTGCCTGATTGATGCATACTCCCAGTGGGTCTCCCAGCTAATGACCATGCACATGCCATCCATATCAGTCCCTAATGGCGCATTTGAATGCTTTTGTGTCTTTTCCCCAGAGAAGCTGGAGCACGCTGCTTCCCGACGCCAGCCACAGACAGCACCTGATGCATGTTGTGGACGTGTGTCCCTCTCATCCCGCTCATTGGTCTTACCTTGGCCAATAGCCAGCTTATCATCAAAATTCATGACAGATTCATCACTGTCTTTCATTCTTTTGAATTGGAATCTTAATTCAGCAGAAGTAGCTAGACAATAACAAGGGTTTTCTTTTGGGTGGCTGTGTTTCTCTTTTCACATGGTGAAAGACAAAATGCCAGAAATCCAAAATAAACATAATGCCAAGAATCCTGATTATCTGGATGTAAATTTGCTTATCATACTCAATACATCTAATTCCAACCCATGTTTTAGAATTAAAACAAACATGTTTGAAGAACTTGTCTTTTCATGATTTGGAGCTGAAACTCAATTTTAATATACTTTTTATAATTATTATTGTACGTTTGACATCAGCCTACAGATTTTCCTGCACATGCACCATGTTTCATTATGATTACATAAAAGATTACAGCAATATTACAGCAAAATTTGGTGGTGGAAACAGTAAAAGGGGCATATACTGTATATATGTATACATACATGTATGTGTGTGCAAATGGTCAGTTATTGTTTATTTTTGTATCCTCAGCTTTGTGAAAAATATTGTCTCTCAATTAAACATTTCTTGCATATTTACATCTTAGAAACATTATATTATCAGGATACAAGCACCTAATGCTTGAGCCTCCCTTGTCTAAACTGGCCCATATCAATGGGAGAGGTTGAGTATCTTTGTTTTATTAAAAACTGATGTCACACTTGCCAGAATCTTCCAGAAAATTAGATGAGTGTGTGAAAATGATTCCTCCTGCTCCTTGAACCACTCTTTGACAATTTGAGCCAGATGAATTTTGGCATAATTGTCCTGGAATATGCCCATGCAATTAGGAAAGAAAAAATCCGTTGATGGGATAACCTGGCCATTCAGTAGATTCAGGTACTCGGCTGACTTCACTTTATTGCTGCATATTGTTGCTGAGCTGTGAAAATGAGCCAATCATTGGCTCCTAAGCACAAACAGTGACTTTTTTATTGGCCAGGCAATGTAAATGAGGATATGAAGCTGACTGGGAGAGTGCATGCTTAAAAGCCCAGACACACTCAATTAACACAAGGGTGAAGCTGTGACAATATAAATGGTTAAAGAGGATTTGGATCATGCCAATCAGACTTAATGATATGTTCCCTATAGTCGGGTTGGGCGATACAGCAAAATATTTTACCACAATTTTCTTTCCATGTCAGTCGATGCTGATAATTATCATAATATAATTGCTAAATTCTTATTTTCAAAAATTATTTGATATTTCTTAAGTTTGAGGCTCCACTTATGCTTAAAACCCCCTTAAGATTCCCCTTAAAGGTGACCCCATACTCCTGTGTTGTCATTAGACCTTGTGTTTCAGGCCTCCCCCCGTAGGCGTGTAATTTGGGAACCCTGGTATACACCAAGCGTGTACTGACTTAGTATTCATTGGGTCTTGTAATACATTTTTTCTTTATTCTATGGAATATACAAGAACGCACATTACAAAATGTTCAGTCATTCATCTTTTATTAAATCCAGGGTTGCAGAGGGGGCGGGAGCCCATGCCAGGCAGCACAGGTCACACAGTGTCAAGTCGTTTATATGTATAGCACATTTGAAAACAACAGAATGGAACACATATTTGCCGTAAGATTGCTTGCGCTCGCATCCATAGTTATATAACGCTTACAGCGCTGGCTTAAAGCAATGTATTCAGGTCCTGATGCAATGCATCATGGTTAGATTTTTTATTGCTTTTTTTTCAGCAATACACAAACATAATGTAAAAAACATAACAAATACAAATTACATTTTAAAGAAACAGGGGTACATATTCTTTCCCATTTACAAAAGATTCTTCAGGGCCTTATATAAATTGATAGTTTTTATAGCTGCTTGGTTTATTTTATGTCCATCCAACGTGTTAAAATAAAATTTCAGTTCCAACTTAAGCTGGCATATATTAGGGTTCTTTGAGGACCATAAACATGAACATAAAATTTACCATATAAAACACATAATTACTATTTGTTGTTTTTCCCATAATAGAATAGAATATCTTTCCTATCTAAAAAAATCTTACAACCAGACAATGTTTCAAACGGATGTTTTATCTCAATACAAAAGTGTTTGACATGTAAACAATCATAAAACAAGTGTGGAATGATGTGCAGATACCACAAAAGCAGCAAAGATGAGATATTTCATTTCTGTATTTCTTTAACTGTTTGTTTGTGGGATAGATTAAGTGTAAAATTTTAAATTGAATTTCTTTTACTTTGTTAGTTACACAATATTTGTTGCTTAAAGTCCATGACGTATTCCAATTGATATTTTAAAACTGGGAATTCCAAAAGAATTTAGACCATAAGGTAATAGGGTTATGCAGTAGCATTCTTATAAACTTATTATTAATTTTCCTGTCTTTTATGTTAATACCATTAATAGTGATATCTGTTCTAGATATCGGCAGTCTGTTTGGTATGTTATCTTGCAGAAGTTTAATAAGACCTGAAGGAATTGCGTCAAAATGATAGCATACACTCTAGGACACAGGTGTCAGACTCCAGTCCTGGGGGGCCGGATCCCTGCACATTTTTGGGTTTCCCCTCATTTAACACACCTGATTCAACTCCTTGTGCTAATTACCACATAGCTGTTGAGTTGTCATTTGTGGTGGAACAGGGAAAGAACTAAGCTACACTGGGCTGCGGTCCTCCAGGACTGCAGTTTGATACCCCTGCTCTATAGGAGATATCGGAACATTGAATTTGGTCAGAAATTCATAATATGAGAGCAAATGCCCCTCTTGATTAAACAGTTGGTAAATTAATAAGATGTTGTTTTCAACCCAAGAAAATGGATTTATTCTTGATGTATTTATTATTACAGATTAGTTATTGGCTGAACACTTTAGTTACATACAACACATTTGTATCCCAGGTAGTTCCTATGCGTTATCTGCTATTTCTCCCGAAAAACACGTAAAGCAGTGAGAACTGGTCATACTATGGAAGCCCGTTTCCGCCAACGGGGAAAAAAATAATATAAAATTTAAGTCGAAATTTCTCGTTATTTCGAGATAATAATTTCGAGATAGTTATCTCGTTATTTCGAGATAGGCTACTAAGTCAAAATTTCGAGATAGTTATCTCGTTATTTCGAGATACTATCTCGAAATTTTGACTTAGTATCTCGAAACACGTTTCTAGCTTTAATAACTTTTCACGGAAGTAAGGTGGGGCGTTTTTAATGACAGAATCATGTTGTCCAGTACACAGACAACGATGCACACCCAATACGAAACACGTAATCAAGCAATTCAGCTGTGATACATTAGCTTTGTCCCAAGGTGCACTGCCTAAATCACACTTTACAACTTACTTATGGATTAATTTGTGTTATCGATTAACTGTCAATGTGTATGAAATGGAGCAATGGCATGTAATATGGATACGATGTAATAATTAATAACTGTTAGACAGAAAGTGATCTTGAAAATCCAAGGGGTGTGCATTGTCCCCCAGACTCCACTGATCGAGGCACACTTCATAGGACATGACCGTCTCCTTTTGTTTCAGAGCAATTAATTAACCCTTTAGTGCATTGCCCCTATGGCATGTAATATGCATACGATGTATTAATTAATAGCTGTTAGAGAGAAAGTGATCTTGAAAATCCAAGGGGTGTTCATTGTTCCCTGTAGTCCACTGATCAAAGCACACTTCACTAGAAGTGCCTGTCTTGTCTAGTTTTAAAATTATTAACCCATTCATGTATTGTCCCATTGCACATTATACGGATACATTCGAACATTCAAAAATTAATTAAAAAAATTCGTACGTAAAGCAATCTGGGAAACAAAGGGGTGTGCATCAGTCGCCATGAGCCCAAAATGCTAAACCACCATGTCATTACAGCTGAGAGCACCTATAATATTAGCTATTAACACGATTTTGCACAAATCACGAAATGGTTTGAAGCGCAAAAATAATCGGTGTGCATCGTTGTCTGTGTACTGGACAACACGATTCTGTCATTAAAAACGCACCACCTTACTTCCGTGAAAAGTTATTAAAGCTAGAAACTTGTTTCGAGATACTAAGTCGAAATTTCGACTTAAATTTTATATTATTTTTTCCCCCGGTGGCGGAAACGGGCTTCCATAATTTTCAGTTAATTTACCTGGTAAAATAAAGTTTAAGTAAATGATATATATGCTCTAATAGTACACGTAAGTTAGTTGATTGTTTATTGTTATAGTTACTGTAATGTTGCGCCGCTTTATTTGTTTAATCGTCTATAGTCTGTGAAGAAGGCATTCAAGTAAGGATTGCATTGTACTCTGTACATGACAATAAAAACTTTGAATCCTTGAAGTAAATGTATTTGATCTTTTTCCTGGCAGCTATCTTTTTGCACAAGGCCACAATAGTTTTTCTCACTGCTAACAGTTTGGATCAAGAGTTGTTTTTTGTAAAAAAAGTAATGTGCGTGCAGGTGATATTTGTATAGATTTACATGTATCTAAACCCTTCTGGCAGTGCGGCCACTTCAGTCAGAAGTAGAAGTTGTCCGACTCGGCTGCATTCAGTTTATGCTCCACTCCTGCAGCCGCCGGCAGATCTCGCTCCACGTCACGTCAGGTGCAGACAGATCTAAGCCCAAATCGAACGCACCCATTGTTTAGCAAGAGATGGAAATTCGGAAATGGGTCACGTGGCCCGTCTCAGACATCTGTAGGTGCCGCTTGATTGCGCAAGAAAATAACGTTTTTTTTTTATCTTACACTCCTTATGAGATTAATAATCGCTTATAAATCTTCTCTGGAAAACAATGACCTGAGAAACATTCACTGATTAGTTTAATCCCTAATAATCTCGTCTAATAACACCATGAAACCACCTAGTAATCTGGCTCTTGAATATCACGTTTTTCCTTTCTTAGATTTCAGAATGACAGCTTCTGAGATACGTTATTCCCATTATTTTTTCATTTAATTTGTTTTTATACAACGTTTAAATGTTTCAGCAGTTCTGACGATGTACTGAATGCTAAGATGCGCTACAACAAGGAAAGAAAGGTTACGGCTTCTTTTATGTGTTTTATTACAATATTAGGTTACTTTAACCTCTTAATCCAAACCGCAAAGTAATGTTGTCCACCTTGTTGTAGTCTATGTATTCAGTAAAACAGTGGTCTAAACAAGGTACACCATATAAACGTGGACTATTCAAAATGGAATTTACATCCACCACACTACATCTTAAATTTTGTTTTCTGTGTTGTGCAGGGCATTTGTAAATATTTTGCATCTTTCAAAAAACCTTCAAACGTAACTAGACTTATAGTTTCATAAACTTTTGCCCTGAATTTAGTGTCTAGATTTTTTAGCCTTATCAGTAAACCCTATCATTTATTGTCGGGAAAGCCAATAGGCCTACTTAAGTTAACGGTTTTGAAGATTTTTTGAAAGTTAGGAACGACAACCCTTCAATAGTAAAATAATAAACGAAGAACTAATTTCTCTTTAAACAATGCATCCTCTGATTATAGCCTATATATGACGCTAGAGTAAAAGGGTGAGCAAAAGGTGCTGAAGATACCACGGCAATGTTTACTGTTGGAATTCCTCATTTTATCTGCCTCTCTTTTAACGGACATGGGATGGTTTAAATGCTTTCTGCTAGTTGAAAGAATGATGAAAGTCCTCCCCATCACGGCTGAGGTCGTGGAATTGAAAATAGAGCATGTGCATAACCCAACGGTTGGACGTTCCAATAGTTAGGATGAAATGTTAGAACACCCGCCACCGGAAAGGAAAGCAAGTTTACGTATACTAATACAGAGCATTCTGCAAATACGAACAATGGATCTTGGTGGCATCAAGCTTTGGGGATATATTTTTATTTAAATCTTCGTTTGAAGCTTCTCAAATTAACTTTTACATAGTGAAACTTCCAAATAAAACGAGTTAACAGAAGCGAGTCTTTTCTGCCGAACAGAGACTAATTTAAAACGGGTTATTTTTTCCTTGGACGTATATGTAGAAGCGTATTTGATAAGCGTTGATCAGGTTGGACGCTTATATGACCTTTCCAGATACACTGTAGACAAATTAGTCAATTCGTAACAAATCGTTTGAATGCAGACACGATGTCACCGAAATCAAATATTTTATTATTTTAATTTTCTTATGCTGCACATATAGGCCTACTCCAAAATCTTAGGAGACGGGTGGACATGAAACTTATTTTTGAGTTAGAGTTAATCTATTTATAATACAATGTCCATCATGAGTTAGGGCTACATCACCAGCAGACTGGAGCTTTAAAAAACCATGACCGGTATCTCAGCCGTTGATTATATGAGAAATAACGGGTCACGTCCTGCACTTATAATTGACGTATAGACTCGGAAAACGGTTAACATGTTTTTTGCCCTAAATACATTTTCTTTGTAAGAAAAGTAGATTTTATATGTTTCTGTTATGTTCAAGATTATAGAGGAGTTAGACTATAGATTACGTTTTTTCGTAAATTTGTTTTAGAATTATTTAATATTTTTAATATTTCAAATCGATTTTCAAATCTTCCCCTCCCCCCGAAACAATAAACATTAAGCAGTTCTCGTTAAGTTTGTGGAAGTAATCTGATTCTGTTTAAACGTCAGAACAAGTTTTTTTCCTAATTTCTATGACTTCACTAAATTCATGGGGGGTCAGATTAAGAGTTTTAATTACAACAGGAGATTTTTCCAAGTCAAGTTTCAAGTTTTGTTGCCACCTGTGCGTTTCTTTCTTGTCATTTACACGTGCGCAATCATTTTATTCATTTTTAAATCGGTTTACAAAAGAACATTATAAATTAAATTAATCCTGTATCGTTGGCCTATTCACCAAATAATTTATCTTCATTAAACATTTATAATATGTGAAATTAGAATCTGATTTGNTACACACTTTAGCCTACAATCATATATGCATATTGTCATATATGTAGGCCTACTATTGTAATTATAAATCCATAAATTATATACGCAACAAATAATGCAATGTTACAATCATAATTCTATAACACCTCAAACATAACGCATTATCTGTAATGGCGTCTTAAACATTTAGTGTAAATTGATTATATAAAATAGTCAACTCGTCAAAAAAAGACAGGCCTACAAGTGGTATCAGACTGGTGGAGCTTAAATGAAACTTGCATGAATTAAATCAAAATGCGCGAAGAGATTTTCTGAGAAAACAAATTCAATTTCAATCAACATAAATTTACCATGTAAAAATTCTGAGACGTTTTACTATGGCATAGGAAGGATCGCATTTTGTTTAATGTTTCAAACGATCGTTTATTCTTATAGGCTACTGGTTTAATTCAACATAGTCCATTATAATAAAAACAAAAAAAAAGTAGCGTGTAAAATCCCAAGGAGCGCGTCTTTAAAAAGAAAGGTAGGCTATCCTTTTGACCTGAAATAAACCCACAGTTATTAATGAAGCATAAATGCCCCTGCAATTCAAATTACAATTATCCTAAATGAAAGTTAATATTTTGTTAATCCTGGGGACAGCTTGTCAGGGAGATTGGGGTCTTTCTTTAATAATGTAAAATTAATGCGCGTTCCCCTTGTAATTATCTTTATCAAGGTCTCGGCGCTTAACCTAGATGCTTAATAGAAAGAGGCGGAATCAAATGGAGTTGCGTAAAGCGGTTATTGTAAACTTCACAAAATTTTACAGAAACAGCAGAAAACGAGAACTGATACTTTTTGGAGAGTTAGTAATTACACGTAAACTATACTCAAAGATATTTAAATAGCCTATGAATTGCCAGACTTCATATATTTCAAAGTAGGCATATTTTTTATTTAAATTTTGTGCCAGTCCAGTGAATCCCCTGTTTTTTTGTTGTATTATAATGTAATTTTCGTTCAACGCAAACTTCTGACTACCGAATTGGTACCACCTGGCTTTATTTTAGTCTTTAATGCATAAATCAGAAAATGACTGCAACTTTGTTTCAGACTGTTTCTTGGTTTAGATTTTAGTGGTCTGTGGTTTATGCCCCAGAAAATCGAGAAATACTGGGTTTAGCAAAGCGATGTGGATAAGTGAAATCTCTCAGCTACGGGAAAAAGACTTCGAACCAATTCAGAAATAGAGAAAAATCCTTATCGGATTTGAAGGAAAATTGGAGGCAATTAATCCTTTGGGATTGGAAAAGGGAAACGCCTTCCGTAGGGATGACAGATCTTTTTGATCTGATTGGACACTGAAATTAACCCCTTGGTTTGGCACGAGGATAAATGGTACCCCACATGTTCTCTCCGGTTCCGTCATACTTCGGTGTAGTAGCGTATGAAAAATTCGATGACAACCATGACAGGAAAGGAGGATATCCCAGATGTGAAGCCCAAAGTAAAGATTTTAGCGCCGACTTTTGGAATCGACAAGGCCAGATTCGGTGGACCAGGCTTTAGATCTAAAAGTTTCGCCATCACCGATCTCTTGGGTCTCGAGACGGATCTTCAACCAAATCAAGTGGTACCTGGAGTAGGAGGGAACGCCGATGGCCAGAGTGCGGGCTTCGGGGGTTTCTCCTTTGCTGGAGGCTCCCTACCTCTCGGTTTAGGTTTTCTATGTAATCTGGCTGCCCAGCAGCCCCCTGGGACACCTTGCTTTCTGCCGAGCCACATACCCCTACTGCAGTCCAGGACAGAGACTCATTTCATACAGAACCTAGACCAGCAGAGGGAAAACTATTCTGGTATGTTGCTGTCGCTTTTTCCGTTCAGAAGAACTTTTGAAGCTGACGATTTAATTGCGATGAATATGACCTATGTTACGGTGACAACTTTTTTCTGACATTTTTAATTTAAAGCGCCCAAATATTTTTAAGCTTGTTGTAGCCTATATGAAGTGTTTGTATTTTACACATACATCCAAATATTATTTTTAAATTATTTGAACTATATAGGCCTAGTAATATTTTGAAAACAAATTTTCATGTAGCCTATAGCTAATACCGCGACTGTTGAATAAAGCTTCAGTAGGCCTATATGAAAACAGAGAAAGCCCAACAGAGTGGTTAAAATACAAAGTGCCTATTCATTCGGTCCAAAATCATCAATGATCTTGGATTACTTATCGTCATTTGCGCCGTTCCACTTAAGTAGGCTACTTAACGTGGGCTTTGCGTCTTTTCAGACGATGACTGTCTTTCAGTGGATCGTAGTGACACAAAGAGTTCCGGAAGTTCACAAAAGAGGAAAAAGAGAAGACATCGGTACGAAATATTCCGTATGAGTTATTACGCCTAAATATACGGGGTAGATTCTACCGACTGAACTCGCTCTGGCTGTTGTCTTTTCTAGAACAGTGTTCACATCTCATCAGCTTGAGGAGTTGGAGAAGGCGTTTCATGAAGCACACTATCCTGATGTGTATGCCAGAGAAATGCTGGCAATGAAAACCGAGTTGCCTGAAGACAGAATACAGGTGTGTAAACAACCAAGCCTACCACGAATATGCGTTGTCAACTGTATTTCACTACAGAATTTGTGTAGGATATATATATAAATTCCCCTACAGCACAGAAAAGGAGTAAAGGGTAATATATATTAATGCCATATAGCCTATTACACTTTACTCCTTTTCTGTGCTTTAAGGGAATTGTTTTATAGGCTATATATCCTACACAAATTATTATATTATTATTATTATTAGGCCTATTATTATTATTATTTGCGAATTTTTATACATCACATGTAGCAATGATGGCCCTGCGTTTTCTCCGTCCAGGTGTGGTTCCAGAACCGCAGGGCCAAGTGGAGAAAGCGGGAGAAGTGCTGGGGCCGCAGCAGCGTGATGGCGGAGTACGGGCTGTACGGCGCGATGGTCCGCCATTCCATCCCGCTGCCGGAGTCGATCATAAACTCTGCCAAGAACGGCATGATGGGCTCGTGCGCTCCCTGGCTGCTAGGTGAGGCGGCCGGAACTTCCCCTAAACTCCATCTCAACTTTTGTAAATAATTCAAGTAGCCTACTGTGCCGAGACGTTTTGCATATAGATGCAGATTAATGTGCCAAGGGTGTGGAATTTGCATGTTCCCCTCGTATTGTCGTGGGGTTTCCTCCAGGTACTCCGATTTCCTCCTACAGTCTAAAAACATGCTGAGATGGATCGTAGTTACCAAATTGCCCATGGTTGCCCGTAGATTCCGGGATAGGCTCCGGAAGCCCCTGGACCCTGAATTGGACAAGCCGTTACAGAAAATGCGTGGACGGATGTTACTTCACTAACCAGTCATTATCGGTAGCACAGTTAGGCTACAATCCCGAGTATTTTGGCCCGGTCAAGCCCCTGACTTAACCCCTGATCGCATTAAACCTAAAGAGCTGGCAACTCGTTTTACTTTCCCCAATTCAGTTACATCACACAGATGTTAGGAAACAAGCCGATATATAAGACGATTGTGTGTGTGTATATATATACATCCAGTTGCGTCGCTCAATATGAATATGACACTGTTAATAATTTTCAGATCAACGATTAGTTTAATAAGAAAATACATGATAATCCTTGAGAAGCAGATCAATAAATAGGCCTAGGCCATATTCAGCTTTTGTGTCACTAGTGATCAGTTAAAATAGCATCACAATTACTTCGTGTGCTGATGCTTTTGAGCGAATGATAATATCTCTTGATTTGTGTAATGTGTTTTTATGGAATGTGTATGTGTTCTAAATCCATCAAACATTTTTCCGCCGCTTACACAGGAATGCACAAAAAGTCAGTGGAGGTTGTTAAAAATGTCCCCAATACCTCAGAGTCAAACGGCGACGCATATGCGGAAGAATCAAAGGCGAAAGACAGCGCCATCGCGTGGCAAAAGCGAGGCGAAACGCCAGAGGACGGCGAGGATACAGCCATGGACCTGTCGCGCGCGTCTAAGCAGCAAAGCAGAAGCACTTTGAGACTGTCACACACAAATCCCAAAGGCTCCGGGAGCGACTCCGACGGCGAAAACTAAATACGGCGAGCCCGTCCTGCCGCTCTGTCTTACATGGTTTTGTTTCATTGTAAGTGTAAATTGGTTTTATAACTTAAAAATGACGTGTAATGTTGTTAATTCTAATTTAATCTGTCAGACGCACTTCAGCAGTTTACTTAAACCTGGCTTTATTCAAGTTATGGAAAACGTCAATGAAATGTCTTGAAATACTTGTCGCATTTAATATGGCTAAGAATTTTCACCAAACATTCGTCTTATGTTCATAATGTAAAATCATTTTATGTTTATAGCTATGCAGTATTATGTTATCGTCCATCTGATTTTGGTTTCAATGAACCAGGAGAAAAATGCGAGAAGGACGATTTTTTCAGCACTTTAACAGTGTGGATTTTGAATGTGAATAAGAACGGAAATAATAAATAAAATCAAACGACGGTACATTTGCTAAAACAAAACTACGCTGCCATTGCTTTTTGTGTAATTCTATATTATCGTTTGTCCATCGCGATACACCCACTGACAGTACCGTGCTGCTTTCAATGATAGGGGCATGGACGTAGCTAGAAATTCTGGGACACTGACTAAATGTCATCGTGCCACCCTGCCCAATGTCAAGTATAATTTTATGTATACAAGGCGCTCAGAAGTGCTATGTCCCCAAAATCTCCCAGGGTATCCTTCCCCCTACTTGGCCCCTGGATAGGATGTTTAAAATGGTAGGGGGGTAGCTACTAGAGAATGACTGACTGACGATGTATAAGAATATGAATAAATATTGGATTAAGCAACTACTGTCTGCCACCTTAGTAAATACTTGTTGTTTGGGGTGTTTCTGAATGACAGCAGGATGAAACACCCGAGTCAGATATTATGCATAAAACACATTTTTTGGTCATCCCAAAAACCCGCACCCACAGCAGCTCTCCATTGATCAGGTTCGTCACCCCTGTCTTACACAATACACATAAAACAAATACCCTAGTTTTCAATTAAAGCTATGTATTTCACTTTTAACAACAAATTAAAAGATTAATTTATCTATGGTCAGAGGCAGCGCCCCCCCTCCAAGTCACCTGAGTTGAAATTTAAAATATTTGGCAAGACCAGCATTGCGCTATGCATGAGCACCTCTGCATGAGCAGTTTGTTGTTGCTCTGTATAGGTAGACACATGTTATGTGTCCATCAGATACATAAGTTGAGCAAGTTGCAGTGTTTTTGCCGTGCAAACAACAAACTCCACCTATGATTTTATCCCAAGCAATGTTTGTAGTACGTAATTAAATTCACACACCTGAATAATGTGTTCCATGCTTGGGATTTGAGCCTAGAATCCATTTGTTCCACATTTCAAGGCCTTTAACAATTAACAATGTTAAATTTAAGCAAAATGAACTATTTCAGTCATGGAGAATCACATTCTGACAACTTATGATAACTTGGAGGGTGTTCATCTTCTGATGTTGCTGACAAATATCCCAATATTGGAATATGTTATGAGTCCAGGAAGAATAGAGCTTATCTGCTTTCTCAACTCTTGTGTGAATGTGGATGAGATTAAACCTCAAGTCCAACTAAAGTATTGCCAGTGATTGTGGTTGCTGGTATTAGCACTTCTTACAATGCTGTTTACTTGTGATGAGTATGTGACACGGGTAACAGATATGATGATGGTGTGCAGAAAATAACAAGCCAGACCAAAAGCATGGAAAAGCACAAAAACCATTTGCTCTAACAATTAACTCAAATTCTCCACCATGCTGGCTGCCCTGACTACTTACACACCACATGGTAAGGGCGCGCGCACACACACACACACAAACCATTATTCACACAACATTAAACATTACATGTCACATTAACATATGGCACAATAACAACATAATACATGCTAACTTCACATAGTTATACACTATTTACATTTGGCACCAGTCCAGCATGCCACGGCACTGTCCAGTCGGTACCCCAGCGCTTCAGTATGTTTAATTAAAAACTGCTCCACAAGAATTTGGGGAATATGGTCAGCTAACTGACAGGGTGAAGGAAAATGTCAGGCATGTAGTTATGAGCACTGATTTTTAAATGCAGTGTCAGTCCCTGTGTGAAGCATCAATCACTATTCTTCAGTGGTGACCGTTATTATTATTTTTTTGATCATTTGTTTCTACAACCAAGGAGAGTACTTTGATTTGGCATAATGGAATTATGTATTACTTGATTTCCATTTTATTTCCTCTGTTCCTTCTGTTTTTTTTCCATGACTGTATACAGATAGTGGACTACTCCGCTGCTCAACTCATCTCCATTGTGAAAAGGAGAAGAACGCAAGGCAATGTGGGACACAGGCGGGCGGAGACTGCATGGATGCCATGATTCGGTGAATGGGTGTTAGCAACTATTCTTTTGGGCAACATACCATAGGGTAGGGCTGCACGATTTGGGTAAAATATTGAATTTTTCTGAAAGAAATTGCGATTACGATTTGATTTGCGATTTAAGTTTTTTTATGTCAAGCTTCAGTTCAATTTTCATTGTGTAGTAATTTTAAAACATGACGCAGCATGATACCATCGATCAGTAGGCTATTAGCTGGTCTACGTTCTAATGCAAGGATGAGAATTTAAAGATGTGATGTGTCAAGTTAAAATAAAGTAATAATGAAAACAATTATAATATTACTATATTATAACAATTATAATTATTATTATTATAATAAAAATAGCGATCTTGCAGGTAACGCTTATTACCCTCCTAATAACACTAGAACCGCCTTTTATCCCACGCCAATGAACAAGCAAGAACTACTTCGGTGTATGTGTTGCGCTATTGTGTTGTTAGCTGCTGTTAATAACACTCAAAAACCCGTAATGTTCATAACAGAGTGGCTGTTCTGTCCTGAAACCGTAAAGCTGAAAATTTTAAACGTAATATGCATTTTATAAAATGTTGAATAAATAGAAGTCGTTTATTGGTGATTTCATGTTGGTCGAAGTTTCCGCTTTTTTACAACTGTATACGGTTATTATTTTCTGTACAAATCAATTCAGGTGAAACAAAAAATGTACGTGTTCATGGTTGCAAACTCTTTCAGACTCTCACGCAAGAAATCTTACGGCAAATCTATATTCCATTCTGAACTTAAAATTAACTGCATCAAAAACGTTACGGCAGTTTGCAAACTCTACAGACTAGGTAATAAAAAAAGGTAATAAAACTTACATACATGTAAATGTGTATGCAGAACAGAGAACAGAAAATCTCACTCCATGCAGCTGACCACAGTTGCCCACCCTGCATTTTATTTTAAATGAGAAGTAAAATGCAGTTTTCGACTGAAGCAGCTTATCATTCCTATGCTTTGTTACTCGGACAAATACAAAACGAATGATTAAACATTATATGCGTCTCTTTTTGTATGTTTTCTAAATACCCATACCCAACTGTATATAGCGATTAAAGCGATCTATTCTTTTAGTATTTATGTTAAAGCAAGACTTTTATTTTATTACTGTTGTGTTGGAAACACTTAAATTTAATAAGAAGAAAGACATATGACATAAACACGACTGTATTGTGGGTTTTACGACTTTTTTGGAGGTCACCGACTCCGCTGGAGTGAGAATTACTGACTCATTGTTTTGATGGGTTAGCGGTATAGGTACTAATGCTATTGCCTATTAACAAAAACCAGAGGTATGATATGCTGAAGAATATTGCAACTTGTATTTAAAAGGAGCTCTCTAGGACCTTTCTGAAACAATCTTGGACCATGAAATAGGAAGGCAATTAACTTAGCTCAGTAGCGGAATCAGTATTTTTCCGCTCCGCGACTGTAACATTTTCCTTGGCTTTCACGTATTTGCTTTTTGTGGCCCTATACGCCTTCTTGGGCCACTTCTGATTGGTGAGCATAACTGGCACGCGAGAAGCACGGCGCTTGTGATTGGTGAGAATGACTGTCACACAGGGAGCACGGCATATAATTTGTAAAACTATTCTCACAGCAGTTTTAAATCCCGGGTCAGATGTGCTGTGTAATGTACATCCTAAATCGCAATTTCTGCGACTTGCTAACTCGCCTTCCGCCCATCTAGAAGTCCAAAATTGTTTTACTGAAGTATGGTCGCTTGAAGGTGCTGTTTAAATAATTATTAAGGCCAAGAGGATTCACGCTGTTCTCATCTTTACTACCACTGTGCTGAAATGATCAGTTCTTAGAGGGAGGTTACTGACGCACATTAAAATGAGGCATGAATTGTCCCAGTTGACTAGAATTATGATAATCAATCTGTGAATATATTGCATTCGTCAGCCTGGACTTGCTGATGATGTTCACAGATACTGACATCCCATCTCACAACACACAGGCATCAAGAAAAAAGCTTTTCTTACTAACATGTGCCATGCGACTGGCATCTCCAGGGTGTACTCCTGCCATATGCTGCCTAAGATAGGCTCCAGGCCCTCATGCAATCCCATTAAGGATGAGCAGGTGGAAGGTGAATGGATGGATGGATGAATGGATAGATGGATGCAAATGACATGATGAAAAAAAAATTGAATTTGTAACTGTATTTAAGTCATAGACTGATATGTGAAATAGATCATAAACTAGGGCAGTGTCTTGCTTAGTGAAAGTGCTGGTTTGCCCCCCCAACCATTAAGGACATTACTTTGCCTATCAAGCTTTATTTTTTAGGTCTAAGCAGCTATTAAACAGACGACACACTATAACCACTGTCCCCGTGGAATTATTGTTTTTAAGATGAATGTTAATGTCTGGTTGTTTTTAAAGTCAGTTAATCCTTAAAACCTCTGGCATAATCACATATAATTCCCACTTAATGGTTCACAAATCATGTAATTACTTCCCTCTATTTTCTTTGCTCATGCCTAATGGACCATCGTGTATAATCTAATTTTATTTTTGGATTATGCATTTTTGATATAGCATTGACTGAAAAATCTCTTCATATGAATTCAGTAATGCCATTACTTATAATACATCTAAGACCCCATCTTTCAATCGCCTTATAATCTCAATAATAATGATGATGATCATAATAATAATAAATGCACTAATCTATAGCTCAAAGGATGATGGTGGATTGAAAAGAACATTATGATTGACTGTGCGAACCTCATATTTTAGAGTAGGAACGCCTTTACTGTCACATGGAGGTGACACTGGTTATAATATAAAAACTATTCATTAAAATATTACAAAATACTGATGATGTTATCAGAATTACTAGCTAGTATTCATTCACACACCAACATGCATTTATTATGGTGAAAAATGATCAAATTTATTATATTTCAGAAAATTTAAAACAAAAAAACAGAGTATAGAAAACAATGCACTTTTGAATTTTAAAATGTAAATTATACAAACTATTTGGTGGATGTTGATTTTTTGCTTTAGTTGA